ATATATCCTGTGATTTTATATTGGACCGATTATTGTCAGGCTACAATCAACATGTGGTTAGAGTATCACTAAGTTCATTAATAAGGCAATAAAAATTAGAGAGGAATTTAGAGCAACTAATGTCATAAATTGTAAAGATGACGAACTGAGTTAAAGACAGTTCCTGGTTTTATAATTATAATTTTAACTGTATATTGGATTTTATATTTAATATGGTATTAGATTGTTTTTATGAAATTGAAATGGCCAGAAGGCTAATCAATAAAGATTGACTGTAACTGTAACAGCTTCTGGCAATATACATTTTACTAAGAAACAAACAATTCCTATTTTGGTAGGAAATATAATGTTTTGCTTTGGTTTTTTTTTAAAAGAAAACCCAGTTTTTACTGAAGGAGGCTTAAGAATACAGTTTGCTCAAACATGGTCTATAGTCATTGAAGTTTTTAATATTTTGACCTGATTCATCCTGCAGGCATTTTTAAGTGAGGCACCCTAATTTCTCTTTTTACTACTCTCTTTTACATTCTCTTTCTCCCCTTGCAGCAGGCTGCCAAGACAGATACGTTTTGTTGGAGGGCATGATCTAATTATTTGCAAGGTGTCTAGAAACTTTCTGTCTTTTTGCTTCTACCACTATGATTTGATTTTGAACTTGAAGTAGGAGGTTTAAAGAGCTGATTTTAATTCCTTTATTCCTTGTAATGATGACCAGGAAGCCAGTCTGGGGCTTTCAGCTTCTGGAAGTGGTCATTGACATGCCATTTGTCCAAATTAATTACCTTGCCAGTCATATTTTCACAGGCTGCTGCCCATATAAAACATCGATAGCATCTCCTTGTACCGTATGAGTGTAATTCTCAGGACTACAGGGCTCTGTAGTATTAACAAACAGTCCAGAATCCAAACCTCCCAATGGAATATTAAATGCCAAAACAAGCATATTATTCAACAGGCATTTTCTCTGTTATATTAGGGCCCCTTGCCACAATAGTTCCAGCAGGTGTAATGCCTGTAATATTGTCACAATCATCAGCAGTTCCCACAGGTACCACCAGGATGGCTTCCCTGGTATGGTTTTGGTGGATACACAAGTAGAGGGTAGTTTCCAGATGGGGAGGTGGCAAACTGAAGTTGGACAGAAGGATTCCGTTTATCACCATCCTTCTACCATAGCTTAGGAACTGTCCTATCTGTCCAGGTTGTTGGGGTTGCATTGGCAGCAATGAGCATGCTAGGATGGCCTGGGTGGCTAATGAGAACATGCCCAACAGTTGGTTTATTACTAACAGCTGAGATTACATTTAAAGATGCTAACCACAAATTCTTTCCTCAACTCCCCACCCCTGCCCCCAAAATCTCAGTCTTTGTGCTGTAGACCAAAAGCAGGCACAACTGGAAAAACATTCTGTCCAGGTCACCTTAGCAGTGAATCCAGCAGCCACAAACACCAAATGATGGTTAGTCTCACTTCATGGTTACTAGTCCTTCTTCACCTAGTAAATATACTATGCCTGGGAAAGTATTTCCCAGTACTATGCCTGGGAAAGGTTACTAAGAGTGAGAATATTCTTTAAATGAGACTGATGTATTCACCATGCAAGGCCAGCATACTTAACAGTTGTTGGAGTAGTCAATAAGACCTTTTCACCTGGGTTTTAAAGAAGTTTTCCACTGGTGTATTTTAATAACCCCTCTCGCCCTTTACTGTCCATCACACTGTATACAGCTGCAGTACTTTTATCCTGCTGTTGAAGGATAGAAATCAAAGCTTGCAGTTAGAAAGAGTTTCATCATCCATTGCTGAATCTAATTTTGTTACTGAAATACCCAGTGGAGTGTGCATAGGTCAACCCATAATAGCCTCATGCAACGTTAACCCTAAGGTTCTACTTGGTGAATTATGCATACTCATTAAGGCTAATGACAGAGCATCTGGCCAGAATGAATTACAGTGTTGGGTGACTGTAGCCAATTTATTTTTCAAGGCCCCATTTGTTCCATCGGAGGACTGGACTGTGGGCAGAAAGCTCATGGAGGTTTTCCTAAAGCAGAAATGACATTACTGACAAAGGATAAAGGATAAGAAGCATGGATCCCATATCTAGATACTAGGTGATGTAATAAAATCTTAGCTACTGAGATGGCATCAGCCTTCCTTGTAGGAAAGGCTTCCATCCATTTAGAAAACATACAATCACTAACATATTTGTAACTTCTTGATGGTGACAATTCCATAAAATCCATTTGTAGTCCCCAGAAGGCCCTTGCAGGGTAGCCCAATCCATGTAGAGAAGGTCTCAAACCACCTCCTGCGTTATTTATTAGGCATGGTGCACAAGTAGAAGTCACAGCCATAATGGCTGATTTAATCCTGGTGTACATCAAAGGACTGAATCTGAAGCTTCATTGCTTCCCAACCCCATTGCATGCATTAATGATGCCATACAGGAAGCCATCCAGAGCCACACCGCAATCAAATGTCTTTTCCCCCTTTTCCACTAGTGACTGAAGATCAGTGATCTCTTGCAATGTAGAAGGGAAAAGCACAAAACAATTGACAGCTACCTTGGGCTTGGTCAGGGCAGCTTGCTTGGCGGGTGTATCAGCTTGCTCATTGCTAGAAAGATTAGAGTGTCCCACTATCCTAACAACTGAATTAGCTAAAGGCAGAAGGCAGGTGTAAAGAATCCAGGAGCGCTGATACTACTCCTGTGTTCTTAATCAGAGTGCCTGCTGAGTCAAATACTCTCTTTCCTTCCACAATGGCCCATAGTCCTGAACAATGCCAAGTGTGCATCAAAAATTTGTGTATATATTAACCTGTTTCCCGTGGGCTAGCTGACAAGCCCAATGTAGAGCATAAACCGCAGCAATCTGAGCTAACACTCCTGATGGCAATTTTCCTTCCATACAGAAAAGGAGTAACAATAGCATTGCCAGCTACCCTCTGCCCCCCATCAGTCACACATGCTGATACATCTACATAAAGTCTTCAATTTTGGCATCCCCTAAAATTTGGTGCCCTAGGTGACTGCCTAGGCCTAGAACAGGTTAGTTTTAGGAGGTGCCAAACTGATGACTTCCGAAATACACAATATGAGTATAGTATAAAATCTGATCATCTTTCCTCATTGCTTTAGAACTTTTTCTTTCTACGCTTTTTGAAAACACCCACGAAGTTGGCCGAGTGGTAGTGAACAGCACACCAACCAGACATTGTAAGCCACAAAAAAGCAATAAATAGGGTGAAAATGTCTGGGAAAAGAAAATAAATTGTCCGGGGCTGAAAATTGTAAGCCTAAAGCTCAAAAACTCGAAGAAAAAAGAAACAAGAGGACACCTTTTTGAAGTTCCTAACAAAATTGGAAGATGAGCCAAACTATAGGGGGTGCCAGAATATGACTTTGCCTAGGGCATCAAAATGTCTAGAATCAACCCTGCACCAAACAAATATCTAAACTGGTTCAGGAAAAGACAAAAGATAAAGGGAGAAACTGATACCAAGTTGTCAAGGGGAAAATGCCCACCTACAGTAAGTAAAGAACCAAGCATTTGGAGAGATGCAACAAAGCAACTTTTATTGGCATGCCAGTGCCAATAAATTACTGGGCTCCTTGTAAAAAGAATGCAGAAGAGCCTGAAAACCCACAAAGTTACAGGTTATATACCCTCTGAAATGATACATAGGACTTCCAGAGCAGTGTAAATTATATCATGACCTTTACACCAGGAATATAGAATCTGGTAACATGAGGTGATCTTACTACGGGCGGACTCGGCGGCTCTACATTTTGTTATTCTAAGGAGGTTCCAAGCCCACCCTTTCCACTGATAATAGCACTTGCTAACATAAACAGTGTCCTTTATTGTACCCATATATTGACTCCATACCATGGAAAAGACAACAACCTGGTTTTTGTTAATTTGTCTCCTTTTCCTTCAGGTTCATTAGGCAATTTCAGTTTGTTTATTGTCTACTAGGGACTTCAGAATCATATATGTAAAGACAGAATATTATTTATCCCCCAGGTATTCTTTTAAAAGAAAACACAGTTCACAAATATTAATATTTATTATTTATTTATTTTATTAAATTTCTCCCCCACCCATCTCCCCCCAATGGGGGAACTCTGGCCAACTCACACAGAACATTAAAAATATACATGTCTCATTCTTGTAAAACTATTGGTAGAGAATTGGGTTAAGGAGGAAAACATACAGTGATGTTATGGGATAAAGACGACTAATGATATTCATTTTTCTATCCTTGCAGCTTTTTGCTTATTTGGATGGAGTTGTTCAATTCCTGAATAAAATACTGGGTTCCTGGAAATGAAGCCACAAGTACCCTGTGCTAATTTGGATGATTCAATACATCCTAAATTCCAACTCTTCCAACTGAGCACTTTCCAACTCTATGGGAGCTAAAATTCCCAGAATGTCCAACCAACATGGCCATTATTGGAGAACTCTATCTGGACACAACCAAGTTGGAA